AGCAGGACGCAGAGTTAAGTTGGTGAATACAGGCCTTAAGCTCTTGGTAATGTGTGTGTGTGTGTGTGTGTGTGTGTGTGTGTGTTCATGTGTACATATCCATGTTTGTGCACTCGTGTTTTGAGAGCCCAGAAGGAAGAAGTTGCAGTTACAACACGAGCACATAAGAGATTGTGGACTCCTGCCTGATGCATATCTGTCCAACAGAAACAGAGTGTGTGTCTGACTGCTTTGTTCGAGGCGTATAATGGAAACTGGCAGCAGTCGTATACAAATCCAAAACAAGCAAGCAAACAAACTGAAAGCTAACACTTTCCGAAAGTTTGGGATAAATTAGGCCAGCGTCTCATGCCACCTCAGAGCCTGGTAGAAGCAGCTTATGTGTGTCATGAATTACTAAGAGGTCATATTTGGGGCTTCTCGCAGCCATCACACAGCTGAGGCTTAACATCCTGAGATTTGCCCTCAAGTGTCCAGGACAGCCATCTGAGCTCTGAGAGCAGCCTGGTGTCTGGGAAATGTCGCCTAAAACATGTTGTCTTTTTTGAGAGCGATCTATAGTGCTTGTGTCCTAAATGTGACTCATAATTTGGTTTTATAATAATAGCCAGTGGTGCAAAGTGTATTTGTACTCCACTACCTTTCAGAGTCCATTATTGTTCACTTCTTTTATGTGACAGCTGAATCTACTGGTGACTTTTCACATTAACATTTCACGTTTAAATCGTATGGTGAGCTTATAACACACAATGTGTTGTTAGAGATTAAACTCGTACCGTGCGACCTCTTCGACTGAAAGCGTTCTCCACCACTGGTCACACTTCAGAGGACATTGAGTGTCATAACAACGATTGGAGGCTGAAAGATAACAAATGTTTTAGTATTTGACAAAAAAGGCAATAGATAGAGTAACACTTACGTCACTTCCGGGTGAAAATTACGGCCCCGCCCACTTTTGGGGGAAAACAACGCTGTCATTTACAAATTCAGAAGTTTTTGCCAATTCGATCAGAATTTTTTGAAAACCGTGGATTTTTGGATCTTCAAAGAGCCCGATTACGATGGCCAGTCAGGCAAACAATTACATTCAATCATTGGAAATCGACGATCGGGCTCGATATATGGTTAAATTCAAATCAGTAGGCGAGGCTGTAATTTCTCCAGCAACTCTCATGAGCGAGGCGGAAAATAATAGTTGTATCATGCCAACAAGCTGCTGTGTCGTTTATTGCACCTCAAACATTAAAACAAATCCAGAGTAAGGTGTTTCTGTACTTCCTCTGAGAAGAAAGGACAGTAAAGAAAAGCTCTGTGGCTTCAGGCTCGATCGCCATTCAAATGACAGCGTTGTTTCCTCCAAAAGTGGGCGGGGCCGTAAAGTGACGTAGATGTTACTCTCATCGACATCTATCGCCTACTGCTATATTTAACCATATATCGAGCCCGCTCGTCGTTTTCAAATGATTGAATGTAATTGTTTGCCTGTCTGGCCATCGTAATCGGGCTCTTTGAAGATCCACAAATCCACGGTTTTCTTGCATTTCTTATCGGATTGGCAAAAACTTCAGAATTTTTGTTGACCGCCATTCGAATGACAGCTTTGGTTTCCCCCTCAAGTGGGCGGAGCCGTCATTTTTTCCCAGAAGTGACGTAGATGTTACTCTCATGTATATATCATATTTATGTGACCCATTATGTAAAAGCAAAGTGTTTCAGAGCTTAGTTGTCCTTGCCCACTGCTTTTATGTCTATTTCTTGAGCAATTAAAAACAGAATGTGTACACAGAGCTGGCCCATAAGCCTGACTCTGCAGTTCTTTTTTTTAATAAACATGGAATACTTGATCAGTAGTTTCCTTTTTTCATTTTTGCTACATCTGGGATTATTAGATCTCTCTGTTAAACTAAAAACAACTGACTTTTCATTGGATCTACTGCCACACAGAATCCGTCTACCTCCTGAAACAATGATCTCTAAATCCAAATGGACAAACGGCTACAGGCATTGCGGCCCTTTCCTCTGTAATCAGTCCCTAATGTTTGTCATTGCAAAGCTGTAATCAGGACTAAAGGGTTTAGAGGGAGGTTTCATTTCAACAAGGCGAAAATGATTATACGCCACCGGCTGAAAGCTGTAGGTTTGTTTACTCGACCAAACTCAATATCCTCGTACCTCCATGAGCGACTCCCTCAGGTTGTTCCTCTTCTCGATGAGCTGTCCGTGTTCTTTGAGGAACGTGCAGAGGAACAGGCTGAGGTTCTGGATGAAGTTCTGCTCGTCGTCCTTCCCGTTGGCGTAGGCCACTCGGATGTTGGTGTTCAAAGGCAGCATCTGACCACAAAGACAAAACAGCACATCAGAAACTCACATTTATTTATTTATAGTTGAGCTTTATTTAATCCCACTTGATGTCCCTTAATTGTTTCCAGTGTGTTTTGTTTGAGGACATTGCATTTACTGTAAATATGCTGCGTCTTAAACCGTGGAGCCATGAGACCACCCAAGGAAAAACATTTCCTCTAAAACTACCAGATCTAAAACTGACAAAACCCTGCTTTTATTTATTCACTTTCAAAAGTCTCTGCATCTTTTAGCTTATTCTATTTAGTTTTTTGGACATGTATATAGTTTACTTCATCTGCATTACTTAAAGGTAGGGTAGGTAAGAATGGAGAAACCAGCTCGAGTGCGCTAGAATTTGAAAGCCCCTTCCTTCAGACTTCCTCACAGAGCCCCTCCTCCAACACACACGAACGCGCACATGACCAATGAGGGCACGAGATAAGTTTGTGCACAGATGGAAGGCTGACAGGCAGGTAGGCCATCCAGTTACTTTAGCCGGGCCGGCTCAGATGATTGGTCGTGCTTTTTACAGCGCCACGGCTTCCACAGATGTATTTATTGTCAAAGCATTTAATATATTCATTGCTATCGGGATGAAATATAACAAGTGTTTCTGAAGTGAGTTACCTACCCCACCTTTACGTGGTCTTACAAGATAAACTCGCACTGTTCAATTGTTTTATGTCTTATATGTGTAGGTTGTTGGAGGAACATGTGACTTAACATTTTCATGGCCATATCTACACTGTAGCTACTGTTCATAGGACAATAAAGCCTTTGAATCTTGAATAAAGCAACCACCAAGCAAACACTATTAGATGGAAAAGACTATAAGAGAGGCTTCGGATAAAGCTTCCAAGTTAAATGTGAGTTATGATTTGTTCGAAACTATAATTATTCAAGTCAAGAATAATCCTCAAAAATTGTATGATTTGTAAAGGAGTCATGGCGCCTTGCCACACACACACACACACACACACACACACACACACACACACACACACACACACACACACACACACACACACACACACACACACACACACACACACACACAAAGTGGTAGAGTGCTGGACTTTGAATCAGGGGTCACATCAGGTTCAAACCCCACTACAGTCAGCATGTCGTTGTGTCCCTGAGACACTTCACCCCAAGTTGCTCCTGTGGGGATTGCCCACAGTATTGAGTATGTAAGTGTCTAACAAGTGACATGTAATGTAATGTACACACAAGTCCCTTCCCTGACTCCTTCCTACAGTGACAGCAGCTGCAGACAGGTGGAGCTGTTTGCATCCACTTGGTGAGGTGTGTGTACATGCTGATGGGTAATACACTGAGACAATTGGAAGTAAGGGTTATGCTTCCAGAAACAGACAACGTGGTTATTAAATACAAGATTTCAACTTCAAAGGTTTGACAAGTCGTATTTTAAAGATGTGTGCCGGCTGATGCCTGATTTGTTTTATGAGACTGGGCGTCGACAGACAGATAAAACCCCGTAGAGAGTCTCAAGAGGATTTGCTGATTATTATTTCGTACTGGTTTTCTCCAGCTTTCTCTGGTTTTGCTGGTTCAAATATTGTGCCTTTGTACACTTTGTCTTTTGTTTCTAATTACCCTGTTCCTCCTGTAAAGCAATGGTTTTAAAGAAATGAAGCCTGCCTACTAGAGCAGCATGTGTGGCTCTGATGCTCCTTCGTAAACTAAAAGAACGTTAGACTGAATCTGCCTTTACACCATAATAAAAAGGCAGATTCTCACAGGTCTTTCTCCCCTTCTTGGAACATTACATTTAAAAAATCTAATATTGGTTTAAAGATTTCTATGTTGTATGAAACCAGGATGATTGCAGTGCTTTGCTGAACACGATCTTGTAAAAACATTAAAGCAATTAAAGACTCATGGAGAGTAATCCTTCGTGTTGCCTGTCATGTCTTGAGCCCGAGGCGGTCTGTAAAGCATATTCTCTGAAGGTGTGTGAGGGGTGGAGGCAACACACCCGTCAGAGGATTGACATACATCATAACCTGAAGGGTCACTTTCACTCTGGACTGAATACATTCATTATGGCACCGCTTTTTACATTTTACATTCATTATTTGTCAATCTTTGTTTCTTGTAGTTCGTTTTTTTATTTGCTCAGGGTTCCTGCAGGTTTCACCAACTCCGATGTAAGACTTTAAGACCTTTTTAAGACCACTTTGAAAAGAATTTAAGACCTATTTCACGGCAAGAAAGTATGAAGGAAAATTGCTATGAAAGAAGAAATATGCCCCATAATTACTTAAAGTAAATGTATTCATGTTCAACATAAGAACAATGACTGAACATAACAGCATAACAGTACACAGAACTATGTTAGCGTGTTAGACAAACAGGGTGTGTGTGTGAGAGTGACAAGAGCTAAATTCAGAGCTCTTCTGTCTTGGCTACAATCTGTCATCGTTGCTGTTGTATGATTGGTGTTTAGCTACGGTATTTAGCGTCCACAGCACCTCCGCTTTTAGGGTTGACGTAGACCCAAACGTCGCCCGGAGGTCCCCCGGTGTTGGTGCGGGAGCTGCTGCACTAGCTAACGCTGCACTAGCTAACGCTACATTAGCAAAACAAACGGTATTTTTGCAAAAGCTGCGGAGGGCTTCAAACACGTTCCCTCCACTGGTTTCAACCAAGCACTACATTTGATGTTTTCCAACAAAATACGGTTGAACTTACATTTCCCCATATTTATTTGTAAGTAGATTCGAAGATACCTGAGTTTCTGACTGCCGCTAGCTGAAGCTTGGTTGCTAGGTTACTAGCTGGGTGTTCTCCGATGAGGGGCCGGGGGAAACATAGTTGGCGATTACTGGTTCCATGTTGATTTAATTCAATACAGATTGTTGGGGGGACCTTCTGAAATCATATTTAAGACCTTTCTTATTTTTTTGTCATATTTAAGACTTTATAAGGCCTTAAATTCTGATTATCAAATGTAAGACTTTTTAAGACCCCGCGGGAACCCTGTTTGCTCTTTTTACTGCACTGTTAGTATTATTATGTTCATTTGTATATTTTGTAATGCACAATAATTGCCTTGGGCATAAATAAAGTATTATCTAATTGCCTGCAGAACGTCATATTTCAATCAAACAAAGACACTGAAAATACTAACAAAGAACTCCACTCGTTTTTTTGGAAATTCTTCCTAAAGCTTTCCACTGCGTCTTCTCATAAAAACACTTAAACACACGTTCACTGTTATTCTTGTCCACTTGTAATTACAGTGAACAAACAGAAAACTGCTTACACTGCATGACAATGTTAAGTGTGAGTGTGTTTGTATTGTGTGTGTTTGTGTGCAACAACAAGCTGACAGCACCATTGAGAGTGCAGACTGTACCTAGTGTGTGTGAGGTAGGAAACTGAGGAGGGTTGCACAAATTGTGTGTTTGTGTGACTAATAACAGAGTGGACATGTGGAACTGTGCTTGTGTGTAATCATTCTGAGTGCAATTAACTAAAGCACCACTCATAATGAGAGTGCTGTGTGTGTGTGTGTGTACCTGTTTAAGCTGGCCCATGGTGAGAGTGCTGTGTGTGTGTGTGTGTGTGTGTGTGTGTGTGTGTGTGTACCTGTTTAAGCTGGCCCATGGTGAGGGTGAACTGGTTGACAAATTGCTCCTCGTACTGGTTGACGCTCACGCCGGCGATCTCTGTCAAACATTTCAGCGTAACGTTGCGAAACATGGGCACATTCAAGAACTGAAACACAGGAATACAAACAACAGGTCAGGTCAGAGGTCAACTGGAGAGGTTTACTGTCCTGTCTGTTTTGTTAATCACTACTCCTTATTTCTCCATGATGAATGGCAGTTTTAACATTCAGTAATGATAGTAAACCGTTACAGACACTCCTAGCAGACCAAACTAGGGCTGGAGCTAAAAATAGCTTTAATTATCTATTCATCCGTTTGAGTGAATGGCCTGGTCTATAAAGTGTAATGAAACAAGTGTCCATCAGGATTTCCCAGTGGTAGCCTCCTCAAATGAACTGCAGACATTCAATTAAGAAGAAATCAAACTTGAGAAAATCCCCAAATTCCTAAATATAAGAAGCTGACACCAGTGATTGTCTTTCCATTGGAAAATTACTGAAATAATCCAAGTTTGGTGAATAATTTTCTATCCATCAATAAATCCATTAATCCATGCGACTCATTGTATCAAACAAACAAACAAACAAACAATGACACAAAGCAACAGTTAAGCACAAAAGTAGATGTTTTATGTCACCTAGAACTAAAGTAGGGCTTTTGCATGATACACAAAAAGAACAGGGAGAAGTAAACATCTGTGGAATCGGCTATATTCCCTTTCAAAACTCAAAAGTACAATACAGTTTTATTTATGTGAACTGCGTGTTTTTACTTTGTATTTGTGGACCATCAACAACACATTTCTATCACTGAGATTAAGAAAATGATACAAATGTCTAACCCTCAGTTTTGTTCATCTGAATGGATATGTTCTGCTTTACCTTGTAGACCAGAGTGCTGATGAGCTTGGTCTCGAAGATGTAACCTAAAGGAATCCAATTCAGGAAGCGGAGCAGAGTCTCTAGTGTGGCGTGGACCAGCGGTGCATTCTGGGAGTTTTCCTATTCAGAGAAAGAAGAAATGTGCATTAGAATAGATTGTGGGTTTAATTAAAACATCAGTGGCTGAGGAGAGTTTGGTTTCATTAATTAATTCATGTCTTACCATCACAAACTGGCACAGCTGGAATATGGAGGAGAACTCGTTGCACATGCTGAGAAACAAAAGGTAGGGAACATCAGTGATGGTAGTCATGTCTTAAAACGTTTTAGAATATGTGGACATTTCTGCATAACACACAAAATCTGGTACCAAGAGGAATCATTTTTCCCCATATAAACGATTGTTATTCTTTAAAAATAAGCAGCTTTCTGTATTTCAGTGCCAAAAATGTATACTTTTTATTTGCAGAAGGGATTGACAAAGCATTCGATCAAACTGCACCAACTCAACACTTCACATAAGTCACACTAAGGGATGCAGAATACAAATATTTGTACTGATATTGAGCAGGAAGGATCATTTTTTTAAACACACACTCATTTTCAGTAAAAAAAATTATTTAAATATTAATGGTTTGATTTTTTTAAGAGGATGTGTACCAGACATGGATTTGTTGACATGACTCGCTGCAGCACCACAATACTACATACAGATAAGTTCACACATTTCACCTTTACAAAATATGACATTAGTCCAAATTGCAATTCAATAACATGTCCATTCATTAGGCGCGTTCACACCGGAGTACTTTTCCCGTTTAGTTCCGTTAGTACCCCTTATGTCGCGTTCACACCAAAAAGAGTACTTAGTGCCGGGAACTTTTACCACCATTTTTAGTGCCTGCTAGAGAGCTGGTACCAAAAAAGTACCAATTCCTATTGACTGGGCGAATTGCAAACCACGCCCCGTAAAACTCAGAAAAGTTTTGTAACGCCGCCATTGTATTTGTGGCATTAGCATTATTAGCATTAGCCCCGCGCACCAACGGAGAGAGACTAATTTATGGCAACACAAAAAAAAACATGGGA